CTTTGGAACACTGAATCATGTTTTCAATTATCATCAGTACCATTTTTATGTGTAGGCTTTAATTTTCTTCAGTGCCATTGCATGCTTGATTAATGGGCCTTCACTCCAAGGGATTCGGTATTTGTACAAAACAAATTTCTTGCCAGGTTGCTTTATTTTTTGTTGGGCGGGGGCATTAATTGAAATTACAGAAACTCAGCAGATGCTTGATCACAGCTTTCTCTACAGAACAAAGCTCCTGGTGATGCTTCCCAGCTGCCTATGGCTGAAGCAGACACAAGTAAGGGATTTTGAGAGGAATGTGTTTACAGATCCCAGTGATTTAAAACAACTTAGACTAGGGTACTGTGCAGTTATGCTCTCTGACCTTTTGACATATGGCGCTCAGACCATATCACTGTTACACAGCTTCTGTACTATGGCTTCCAGAAATATTACCTCCGGATATTACTCTTCTGATATGATAACAATTACTGATATTTGTTTCAGATACCTTGGATATAAGAGCCTTTGGACATGTTGTAAAATGTATTAAAATAAAAAGGCAAAGAGAACTTAGGGAAGGCTGTAGTAAAAAAATAAACAGTAAGAATTCATAACCTACTTCCCTTTTTTACATTGTGATACTCTTAGGCTACTTCCAGATTAGGAGTACTTGACCAGCACATGATTATTTTAATACTGTGCTGACAAAAGGATCCTATGGTGCAGATATAGATTTACTGGCACAACTGCACTTTGTGCTTGAATAGTGAAAATGCCATCACAAGCAAAACAAGTGCAGTTTTTGCCTCTATAACTGTATCTGCATTAGGTGCCTCTGCTGGCCTGGCCATGTCAGCCTGACGTCTCACCTCTGCATGCTGCTAACAAACATAGCTAAACCAGTAAAAGTTTGTAGTGAAGATGTGGCCTTCCTCATATCAGGCAGTACTTTACACCATAAGGTAGCTCTAATTCAAGGTAATTTATGTTAAAATAGATATACTGTATTCACATACTCACAGAAAATTATTCATAGGATTTTTTTCTGATCATTTAGACCTTCCTCTGTGGCTTCCTTTAGATCTTTGGATCATCTTGTCCTGATTGAAATTCCATAGCTTAAAGGACAGCATATCCCCTTTTGGTCCATAATAAAATTCAGACCATCCACAGAACAACATAGTACAAACAAGGGGATTCACTGAGGAAGCATGTTATTTCTTTTCAGAAGGTTGCCTTCTCATCCTGGCACACACAGACAGGGTGGGGAGGGAGTGGGAGAAGAGCACCTTTCTAAGGCCTGCTTGGGAGAATAAAGTTCAGTTGGAACAGATGTGCAGCAAATGAACAGTAATGTGTGAGAGAGACATCTCTAGTATGACTGCAGGAGCCTTGCAGTGGTACTTTTGGAGATGCACAAGCCTGCTCCTTTTTAATATTAATTATCTGTGCACTACTGGGGAAAAAACAGGTGTACAGTACATACCATACCAAGACTTGTACTGCTGGAAATGAAACCCAGTAAATTTAGGCAGCACAGAGGATTGCTTTCCTCCCATTCAGTAGAGTGTTTGAGTTACTTTATCTGAGGTGACACCACTCTTCTGGAATAAGATGGAAGTCAGAGGTCATTGATAATAAAGATTGTTATTATTTTTAATCTTCTGGCAGATGTATTGTTATATTAAATATCCACTGTAATTGGAATTCTCAAGATGTGAAAGGCTGGCCTTGAATTATTCCTAATTATTGGAATGGAAGGTTGTGCCATATACAAACTGAAAGGTAATTTCCCCTAGATTTGCAATAGTGTTTCAGAGTTAATTCATTGCTTTGTCATGCAGATAATGCCTATGCAAACAAATGCACACTTTTTCTTTTATGTTCATTAGAACTGCATTAATTTAGAATGCAGTGGAGTACTAGAACAACACAGAGCATTACAGTTCAGATATAGAAATGCCTAGAGACACAGTAAGGTCCTAGTTCAAGCAAAGTACTTAAACATGTGCTTAATTTTAAGCATATTCTTAACTTGTTTGACATTGGTGGTACTTAGCCACTTACTTAAGTGCTTTGCCAAATCAGGACAATAACATGTTCCTAATGCTTTAATTAGTATTCTGTGTGCTATGTCTGTCTTGTGTTGGGTTATAAATCTAATTCGGCCCCTTTGTGCATATACATTCTTTAATTATATGATCACATGCTATTTTATTTTGTACAGTACCTCAGTGCATGAGATGGATTGTGCTTAATTAATGAGCATAGATTTGTTTTCTCTTTAGTATTCTATGTGTGGTCCCAAGACTTATTTATTTTACAGTATCTAAACCCTAAAGGTAAAGTCATTAGGTTGGACCCAGAGGGTAGTAATCGATGGAAGTCACTCATCGTGGTGTCCTGTGACCAGTGGGGTCCCCCAAGGCTCTGTCCTTGGACCCATACTGTTCAACATCTTCATTAATGATGTGGACACTGGAGTCAGAAGCGGACTGGCCAAGTTCGCCGATGACACCAAACTTTGGGGCAAAGCATCCACACCAGAAGACAGGCAGGTTATCCAGGCTGACCTGGACAGGCTCAGCAAGTGGGCGGGCGAGAATCTGATGGTGTTCAACGCCGATAAATGCAAGGTTCTCCACCTTGGGAAAAAAAACCCGCAGCATCCTTATAGACTCGGCAGTGCTATGTTGGGTAGCACTACGAAGAACGAGACTTGGGGGGCATCATTGACCACAAGATGAACATGAGCCTGCAATGCGATGCGGCGGCTAGTAAAGCGACCAAAACGCTGGCTTGCATCCATAGATGCTTCTCAAGCAAATCCCGGGACGTCATTCTCCCCCTGTACTCGGCCTTAGTGAGGCCGCAGCTGGAGTACTGTGTCCAGTTTTGGGCTCCACAATTCAAAAAGGATGTGGAGAAGCTTGGGAGGGTCCAGAGAAGAGCCACGCGCATGATCAGAGGTCAGGGAAGCAGACCCTACGATGACAGGCTGAGAGCCCTGGGGCTCTTTAGCCTGAAAAAGCGCAGGCTCAGGGGTGATCTGATGGCCACCTACAAGTTTATCAGGGGTGACCACCAGCATCTGGGGGAACGTTTGTTCACCAGAGCGCCCCAAGGGATGACGAGGTCGAATGGTCACAAACTACTTCAAGATCGTTTCAGGCTGGACATAAGGAAGAACTTCTTTACTGTCCGAGCCCCCAAGGTCTGGAACAGCCTGCCACCGGAGGTGGTTCAAGCGCCTTCATTGAACACCTTCAAGATGAAACTGGATGCTTATCTTGCTGGGATCCTCTGACCCCAGCTGACTTCCTGCCCTTTGGGCGGGGGGCTGGACTCGATGATCTTCCGAGGTCCCTTCCAGCCCTGATGTCTATGAAATCTATGAAATCTATGATAACATCAGGACTCAAACGAAGCTCCTACTATATAAAACTGGTAATCCCGACTCTTCTCTATGGCTGTGAAGCTTAGGTGACCTTCAGGGATCACCTGAAAAGGCTGGAATGCCATTACTACTGCTACTTCCAAAAGATCCTTGGCATCAAGTAGGAGGATCACTGCACAAAAGCAGTGTCCTCACCAACACTAACACCACCAGTATGGAAGAGTTGATTATTCAACATCAGTTGCAGCGGACAGGACATTATGTGTGGATGTCTGATGTATGTTTACCAAAACAACTGCTATACTCCCAATTCAGCCAAAGTCAAAGGACACACAGGGGCCAGAGAAAATGCTTCAAGGACACCCTTAAGGCAAACATTAAGAAGTGGCAGTGACAACACAAATTAGGAAAAACTAGCCCAGGATGCCTTGTGAGAAAAGGTACATCTTTGAAGAAAACCGTCTCACCCTGGATGCAGAAAAATGAAGGAAACAGAAAGAAAGGACACAAAACTGAAAAATCTGCAGTCCATCCCTCCCTTTAACCACCACCTTTGGCATCTTCCAGAGAGTCTATGGCTTTAAAATCAGCCTTCTTAGCCATTAACAGACTCATCTGCAACCCTTTACTTGACCGTGGGAGTGATCATCCTCGGCCATGAGGGCCTGCTGCCGCCACCACCACCAGCAACATGATTTCACATCCGACACCAGCAGATCAAGTTTCTCTATTTTGTTGTCCACTCTCCCAATATCTAAACATGTTGGTTGTTTCTTACTGCTCATACCCTATTATTTGATTTTAATCTTGCTGGGCACTAAAACAAGGCATGAAAATTATACAAGTCTCTCCCAACATCCTCCTCTCATTACACAGTTTAAAATTCTTTTTAATAAGTTATGCCAGCCATGTTTCTAGAAAGTTGTTTCCCCAGATATTCAGGTAAAGTCCACTCTTCAAAAGAGCCCTCTCTCAGTAAATGCACTCCAGGAATCAAACACCCCCAAACCTTCCTTATAGCATTGGGCCATGTGTTAATCTTCATTATCTTCTCTCACGTTTGCCTTCCTTAGCTAGAAACTGGAAAAGTTCCACTGAAGATCACCTGAGCCTTCACTTCTTTTAACTCTTCCCTAGTCTTGAATAGTCATCCTTGATCTGTTCCAAAAAGGAATCTTCAATTCATTTGTCCCAAAACAAAGGATGGATCAGTGGATTCTTCCCTGCTCCCTTCAAGAATCTTTTTAAACTTTTATCCTTGCTTCTAAGAGAGAACCCACCATTCTATTTTCTGCTCACAGAACAGTCAATTTTTGTTAAGGAGCTCCAAATTATATATGTCTACCTCTTCTTGGCATTAGCGTGAATCTCTAGTTTTCTCCCTTCTAATCTCTTCCTTTCTGCAAATCTCTTCTCTTGCTGTTCAAAGTTGTATATTATCCTCTGTATATTGTATCATTTTATTTTCCTCATTCAAAATTAAGGATAAGCCACTCAAGTTTTCAACTAATGAATTAATATTACTGTTGTACCATGAGGCTGTAATTGCAGTGAAAGTAATTTGAGAAATAAAATGTGGTTTTTAACGAAATATTCAATGACATTTTATAGCACTTACAAGTTTCCTTCTTTTTCTGCATGTGTTGGTTTGTCACAGTGTTCAATTCTGAGGATGGGCAATGTTGTTTCCACTGTTTCTTCCACTCTCATGTCATTTATGCCAGAAAGCTTAAAATTATTCTGTATCTCACCTAGGGAAGAGAAACACTAACCACTAGTTATCAGAAACTAGTGAAATAGAGAAAAATATATAAACTGAATCTAGAATTGGAGGCATATCAGAGGCAGCACAATGCATTTGTATACAGTGGGATTGTGGAGGTAGGTCCTTTGCTTCAGAAGATGCTAAGAGTCTTATGAAATGAGGCTCATTTCCCTCTAAAACATTGCCACTTGTTCTTGCTATTTTAGAAACAACTGATCTCAGACACATAGTCCTGTCAACATCAGAGCAACATTATAGAAACACTGATGTGGGAGGAAAAATACATAGGAAAAAAGAATGATCCTTAAAATTTTAGAAGGGAACAAAGAAACACACCTTTTAGATATACAAGTGTATAAACAGACATTGTCCTTGGAGTGGGATCAGCTATGCCAGGGGTGTGTTGATATACAGTTGATCTACTTTATTGATCAACACAGCTGTTACCTGTTGTCCTTTAGTGTCTGGCCCCTGCCATTCCCAGAGTTTCAGGGGCCTGATCCCATGGGATGACTGTAACCCTGGGTTCTGCTGTTTATAGACATGCACCCCAGGAATCTCCCAGCAGGGATGTCCCATGCATGCATATCACACTGGTGTATCCTGACCCAGGGCACATCTCTGCAAGCAAGGGAAACTATAGATGATTTCCAGGGGCATACAGGATCAGGCCCCTGAAGCCCCAAGACTACATGTCTGGGATAGCCAGAGAGCATGGGTAGCTCCAGGCTGCTCATGCTCTCCAGCCATAAGCAAACAGATGTCCACCACAGAAAAGCAGCACAAATTATTACTATCAACTGTCATGGCCACAATTCTGGGCATTTGTGATAAGACAAGGAGCATAGGTATATGTTTGCTTGGGCCTTGCGCCCCCATAAAAATGTTTATAGCCGCACAAAGTCATCTTCTGTTTGCAGCCTACATGGCCCAATTCAGTTCTCTCGAAGCTCTAACAAATATCCCCAGAGAATACAACATTTGATATGCATGTACCACTAAAAGTGTCCTGACAGATAGATGTGTATAATTCTTACCACATCCAAAGAGAGTGGCAGATAAAAATCTGAGGATCAGCATTCAATCAATTCTATTTATAAAACCTCCATAGCATGGAAAAGTATGCATTCAGTAATATACAAGAGCATCCATTAAAATATTAAAACAGGTCAGAACATCTAAACAGTTAAAACTGCGCTTAAAACAGTTCAGAAAAACATTGTGAAAGCACTATATTACCAAACTGCTGTAAATATTTTCCTGTTTTGCTATAGAATCTTTCTCTCTCTTTCTTTAAGTTGATATGGACCACACAGCGGTAGTTATGCCCACTGATCAAACTGAAGATCCAAAGCTGAAAGAGAAAGATGAAAACAGTCACAATAACTTCTTTTTTTTTGCCAAAGATAATACTTATGCACAGTTCAGAGTTATACTGGAGGACAAATTCTACATTTTAACAAATGTGACTCATATAAATTAATACAACTTCACTGCAAAATTGGCATATTTTCTTGCTTAGACATACCTTTGGAAATTGATTTACTTTTCACTCCCATTTGCAACTTTGAAGGCCTCCCATTTTAACTTTCTCAAACAGTTATAAAATATTTCAGAAACTTCTGGGAACCTGCAAGCAGGATCTTATCAAGTCATATATGTCCATTACAGAATGAATTTTCAGGGCTTTTCTACATTACAAGACTTCTGCATGGCAGCTGCCAAAGGGAAGCTGCCAAAGCACATATGCACTCACATGGCTTCTCACAGCTCCATGTGGCTCCACTACAACAGCTGTGCCAGCAGGATGTATGGTGCATCCTGTAGGCACCAGGCACTGAGGGAGCTGTGGCAGCTAGAAAAAGCATAGGTTGGTCTATATGTGCCATCTGTTTACTGCTTGGTAGTAGCAGTAACCTTCTGTCGCTCACAGAGCAGACGTAGCCCTGTCAGCGGAATAAAGAGGTTCTGCTACCACAGGGGAGCTGAGAGTTTAGACACATACACAGCTCTGCCAGCAAAACTGTATAGTGTAGACATGATCGTAGTCATCATGAAAGTCAAGGCTTTCATTGTCTTCACTCTCCACTGAACTGAATAACAGCTAAATAAAACATTTTACTATTATAGCACAATGTTATTTTTTTTAAGTAGTATGTTTAAAGATTAACTAAAATATGGATAGCAAGGACTCCTAGCAAAGTGAAACTACAGTATCCCTTTCATACTTTCAGGTCAGGCTACAAGTCACGTTGACTGTAAAATAAAAAAAAGAGACTGCCATTTTCACATAGCCTTCCTTAAAACAAAAACAAATTTATAATTTCTCTGTACACGTACAAGATTTTCCATTTAGTTATAAGGCTCCAGTTGTATTCTATAATAATTCAATACAATTAAAGTTAAAAAAGAGTGAAGTGGACTAATTAATCTTTGTAACAATTAAAAAACTCAGCTTACAAAGCATCCTGATACACAGAATACTTTAATACACGGTTTTTGTTTGAACTAATTTTTTTACTATATTTGCTTAACTTACCTGCCCATCAGCACATCCAGTAATAATCTGTTTCTTTTCTTCATCAATGAAAAGACTTAACAAAGGAAAGGCTAGATAAAAAAAAAATTGCATTATTTTGCAATTATTTTTATACCATACATAAATCATCCTTTGCATCAAAATGTATGATCCTGAATGAGCCAGTCAAACTTAAGCATGTGCTTAAGTGTTTTCTTGAATTGGAGTAAAAAGAAGCTATTTTTATCAACCCACCTCCCGATCAGTTAAAGAAATTGATCTTAAATAAAATGGGAAAACTATTAAGACATCATTTAAAAGTCATACAAAAGCCTTACCTGTTAATACTGCTGATTGGTATGTTAATACACCAGTACAACAGTCCCATACCTTAGAAAGAAAAACACATTGTTTACATAGATAATTCTGAAAAAGAAAAAAAATAAGGGCCAATAAAATACTATATACAAGAGAGTTATGTCTAATGAAAAGGTACACGATTTCAAGCACATACAGATTACAAATCTCCATCAAGTGGTAAATCTAGATAATAGCAGATATTAGAAGAAAGCAGTAACTTAGGAAGGGCTTTCATTCTATATGCACCTTATGAGAGTATTTGTTCACTATGCATCTTGAGCCTTTCTCCACTTGAAAAGCTAATTAAAGTATGTATACCCTGCCCACTTAACCCTCCCCACTGGAGACACATTAAAACTGATTTAGAGAAAATATTGTATCGTTTAAGCTTAAGGTGATTCCTTAGGAACTTAAGGTGCACACACACAAGGAACTTGAAACTGTTTACAAATCATGAACACTGGGTCCCAAGACAGAAGAACTTTACTACAAACTATGATATTAATTTTCACCTGTAAATCTGTGTATACACATTCAAAATGCTTTTACTATTAGACTAACATCTTGTACTTCCAGGTACTTAATAACAGTTTATCACAAACAGCCAAATCAAAATAAGCTTTTCCTCCCTCCCTCAGCTACTTATATAATTCCCTTTCTGCATCTTTTCCAAAAAACTTCAATCATAGCATCTAAGGGCATCTTTATATGTGCGGGGGGGGAGGGCACACTTTAAAGCACCCACAGAGTCGCATGTATTCAGTATCATGTGTTTCAAAATGGCGGTGGGGGCACTTGAACTAAAGCTCATTCAACGAGCTTTAGTTCAAGTGCCCTGCCACCATTTGAAGTGTGGTAACACTGAATACGTGAGATGCCAAGGCTGCTGGAATGCTAATTAGCACATTCCAGCAGACTTGATTAACTGAGTCTGCTCCAACACACTGTAACTACAGCATGTCGGAGCAGGCTTTCCACATGTCTGCAGGCACCCATAGGGACTGAGATTGAGATGGTCAGGGACCCTGGTTTTCGCTATTTAACAATCTCAAATTCTCTGATAAAATAACCCCCCAAAATTCATGTTTTTCTATGATTAAAATGAAATGCCACTAAACGTATGTATATATTTACACGCGCGCACACACACACACACACACACACATATATTAGGCCTGTGCAAGTAGGCAGGTATTCGATCCGGCTTCGGATCCAGCCGCTTCGGATGTCAGTGATCCGATCTGGAGCTCCAGATCAATTTGCCGCATCGATCCGGCCGAAGCGGCTCTGAAGCTTCAGAGCTGCCTCAAGAGATCTGGCCATAGGGTATAATGGGGGATCAATTAAATATCTATAACTTTGTTGTTTTGTCTCTGATTTGGGTGAAACTTGCAGGGGTGGTAGCCTCTGCTGAGAGCATGAAACCTGCCAAGTTTCAAGAAGATGGGTGCAGGGGTTTGGGGGCAACTGCACCCCAAACTCTTGAAAGCAAAAATCATATCACGTCTATGTGCTACAACACAGGGGGTGAAAACTCCAGGGGTAGCGGCCCCTGATCAGGTCATGAAGCAGGCCACGTTTCAAGAAGCTAGGTGCAGGGGTTTGGGGGGAACTGCATCTCAAGCTGCTGACAGGCAAAACTCATGACACAGATGACCCTGTGTGTGTTAAGGAGCAGTGGGCTGAAAACTGCAGGGGTGGTGGCCCCTGCTCAGGCCACGAAACCAGCCAGCTGTGTATGTGTCTCACTGGGGGAGTCTGTCTTCTGGGGCCCTGCACCTCTGGCTGCTGACAGGCAAAACTCGTGATGTGGGCAGGTGACACTGTGTGTGTATTAAGATGCACCCTTCCTGGTGCTGGGGCCCCTGCACAACATGGCAGTGTGCCCCAGTGAGGCTTCCTCCTCCCTTACAGCCTCATGCCCGGTCCACCACTTTACGTGACAACAGGTAAAATAACTTAGCCAGCTCATCACCAATAGCATCAGCAGCAGCATCACAGGTACCCACACGGAACTGTCACAGAGTCTGTCGTTTTATAAAGGAATTGACAGCAAGAAGTAAAGAAGTTGTGTTGTGTTGTGTTGGACATATGATGTTACTCATGGTGTGTGACGGCTTATCTTGTGTTTTTATGTATGCGTATTATGAAAAAAAAGGAGTACTTAAAAAAATGTATCTTTGGAAGCTTTAGGGTTGAAAACCCCTTTGTCAGACTGAGGTATCAAACACAAGATACCTGCAGTTGGTCCTGGATGGAAGGAATAGTAAAGAAGCCAGAGGCTGGCCTGGCCCACAATGCAAGCAAGAAAGGCAGTCAGTGAAAATGGAAATGGAGGCGTCAGGTGGGGAGGGACAGGCTGGGGTGGGGGGTAAGGGGGAAATGGGGATGTAGCAACACAGGTAAAAGTGCAGAGGTGCCTCGGGTATCAGATGTCCGGCAGGTCACAGTGACCAAGAGTTTTGGGGCTGCCAGTGCACATGCTCCCCTTCACCCTCGGGTTGCACAAGCCCGCCATCATGTTGACCGTATTGGACTGCAAGGAATCCAGCCGTCTCCTGATGCCCTGCTTCAGCCACCTCACCAGTGCCTGCACGTCGGGTGACAGCAGCCTGCCCCAGCCAC